GATTTCGAAGTACAGAAGAACAACAAGACAGCTTCTGGACTTTAATGCGTTCTTGAAATCCACGTTCGCATGTCATTTTATCAGCTTGGAAATTCTTCTGTAATAGGCGGCGACCAACCTATAGTAACGAAGCGCTATTTCTGGTTGATCACTATAGAAGTAGTTCATTGCAATGCATGCAATCGCTTCCACATTACTCGCCTCTTGCTTCAGCACTCCTTTGTATGTTTCAACACTTTTCTCCATTTCGCCTAATTGCTGCAAAACATAAAATCTTTGTGAATGTTTGAGATTCGGAAGCACCACTATTAAATTCACAGGAAAATCTATGAAACGCCTTCGAATGTTCTCCAAAAATCCTGATTTTGCTGATCTTATGCTATTTGATGATAATCAAATCGCCATATCTGCATACATCACGTTTGTGCAGAATCAAGTTAGGGCCCATATCGGGAAACTATACATGTGTTTAGCAGGTAACTCAGCGTCGGTTTAAATCTCAGGCCAAGCCCAAGCCCAAGCCCAACTTTATCTGACTATCAACAGCTCATTTAGCCACACTACTCCTATTTGAAGTAGTTTTCCAACCATCCAAAAACATATTGGCTCCTTGAAGCTGTCTGATAGTGACACTGAGATATTATGGCGGTTAGTTACCTCTTGAACTCGAGCTAATCCAATCAGTAGGGTAACGTCGTTCTTGAATATATGAAGTCCGGCATTGTATTGCTCGATTGCCATCAGAGGCTGATCGATGCGATTATATGTCTAAACATCGTTCAAAATTTACTTTTGAATGAGTCGTCAGTAAATTCAATCTCCAATAGAAACAACACAGTGCATAATACGGTCACATTTCGTATTGCCTGAGACCATTTGTGAGTGTTTCAGTGAAGAANGTTTCAACCATTTTCTGATTGTTCAACGATGACTGAAACTGCTTGATAGCATCCGGGAACATTCCAAGCCGATAATAGCATTTCCCCAACTGATTCTTCCAATACCAATCCGAATAGTCAGCGCATTTCGTTGCGATTGCAGCGATCTGCAATAAAGTTCGTTTAGCGAATGCTGCTCAAAAATTTATGTGATGATGATGCCTATTCGATTTTTCTGCCATAATTTGCTTATCGTTAGTGAAACTTTTCAGAGTCTCTTTGGAATCTCTTAGATACCTGATGAGCAATTTTCATGTCGCCTTCATGATAGAAAACGTATTCGAATAAGAGACGATTGATGTGTGGATCACGAGCGTATTTCTCGACGTTCAGTCGAGCCAAATTTATGAACTGACCATCAGCCTGTGCGACCATTGAGGCCTGAAATGATACATACGCATCTTCAACAGTCATGCACAAAGATTGTTGCTGAAGAAAAATTTTGACGTCTAAGTCCAATGAGAATTATCAGAGAAAATTTCAGTTCAATCTGTACAATTTTTCCCATTTTTGTCATATTTTCATACGGTTATCAATCGGGAAACGATTATCAATCAGCGAAAATAACGACGCGTCCAACAGACGGTCCGATGGTGTGATATTTGGAATTATGAAATAACTGACATAAAATGTCTCAATCATGACATTACAGTTATGACATAAGATTAGATCGGTGCATAACTCACGGTTCCAAGACGCACGAATCGAGCCGAGTTTGACGATGTGGCACGAGCCGTTTTCGAGGTTCGCGATGTACGCAGCGATTGCTCCATTGTTCCTGGACGTGAGCTGGTTTCCGGGCGCACCACACCGCTCAGTGGACGACCTGCACTTGTACGCGGTCTGAATTTCATTACTTCACTTTATTTCGTCGCAAATTTCCGCTCTTGATTCAGCATCAGTGTTCAAGTTATTCGGTT